TCTACTTAATATGATTATGGTGATAGTTTGTCATTTGTCTTCTTTACTGTGTTCAGGAATCATCCTTCTGTTTGTTGTTCCTTTAGTGACTTTATCATGACTCTAGATGACTTTCTGCACTGACTGAGATGACCATGAGATTTCTGTTCTGAAGACGTTTGTGTTAAGTTGAGGTTATTGCTTTCATTTTTTTCAATACAGGGTTTCTCTGTGTATCTTTGGCTGTCTTGGAACTCACTCTGTAGACCAAGATGATCTTGAACTCACTTAGATCCCTCTGCCTCTGCCTCCCAAGTGCTGGGATTAAAGGCATGGTCACACTGTCCCGTTTTCTGTTTTTGAACCAACCTTTCATACCTGGATTGAAACCAGCTTGGTCACAGTATACCCTCCTCTTCATGTGTTCTTAGATTTTGCTTGTAGTTTTTTTCTTTTTTTGTGGGGGAATATTAAAAACAAGGAAATTGTGCTGTCATCTGGGTAACACTGGCTTCATAGTGTGGGAAAATACACTAAGATTTGATCCTGACTCTTCTTAGTCCCTCCACTATATGAACTTGAAACTGTTTATCTCATTGGCCCTTTAATGGTTTTCTTGGGAAATGGCCTCCTTGACTACAGGGTCTGATTCCCCTTCACAAAAGAACTGGTGAAATGGACCATAGGACACAAGGTTATCAGTATAAGACTCAGCAGCCTGGAAACAACTCATTTTCCTGTACTTACATTTGTCTGACCTAGGACTAACACCATTGTTTCCTATTTGTCAGGGTCAACTGAAAAATCTCCCAAACTCAGATTTAATCTGGTTTAAGTTTTTCAAGGAAAGGGAATTTGAATTCAGGAGGGCAAATTTGCCTGGATATTTGCTTTAAGGGGAAAGTAAAGGAGTCTGGGGACTACTTGATGGTGGTTAATTAATAGAGAAATCACCTATTGTTTCCTCAAGAGGCATTGATCCAGCACAGATGCAGTATTACTGGAGACTAGAATGGTAGATAACATAACAGTGTCCACAGAGATTTAAATCTTCCCATAAATCAAAAAATTATTTGCCTATAGGGGACCTCAGATCATTTCCAGCCTCATGTCTGGACAAGACTAGTTGGATTATAGTATTATAGTTAATATTTCTCTTAGGAGGCCATTTTCTCTTTTCCAGCTTATAGCTGTAGTATTCTACAGTACAGGGAAACACTAAGAACTTCTCCCTTAGGGATCGAGGATGGAAGGAGTTCTAGTGTCTCAGTGCTCTAGAGACGTCCTAGCTGATGAGGGCTCATTGCCCTTCTGAAAAGTGAAGAAGGTATCCATTAAGTCTTCTCCTCCCCAACCCCATGTTTTGAAAGTTCCCTGATGACACCCTGCCTCAAACAAGGTGGAATTTGGGGACCAACCCCTGATGTTGCCTTCTGTCCTCCATGTGCACTCTGTGTTACAGACACACTCACTCATTTATTTTATACACCATATACAAAAGAAGAAGAAAGAAATGAAATGTTACGATAATTTTTTCTGCTAAAAGCAGCCCGAGCCCCACCGCCACGTGTGTGCTTTATGCCAGCCGCCTGCCTGAGTTAGGGCCCAAATGAATACACAGAAACCTGTATTAGGTACAAATGCTGATTGACCAATGACTAGGACTTCTCATCTGTTAGCTCAGTCTTAATTTTCGTAAATCTATATATTTTATAAGACTTATCTTATAGAGGATGCCTTCATTTGGCACCCTCTCTTGCCGGTGGATCACATTGCTCTGCTGGAGGAAGAGCCGAGGGGAAAAAGGGACCATCCTGTTTCTCCTTGCTTAAATATGAGTCTCTGTAGGGAGCCGTCCCTGCATTCTCCATTACAATGATGGTGCCTGCAGGCACTGAATGTAAATTAT